CCCTTCCATGGCAAAATCTATAGAGACGTCGAGGACTGGATCCTTCACTACGAGCGCGTGGCCCGCCACAACAAATGGAACGCCGAGCAACGCGTCCAGAACCTCTACTTCTCGCTGGAAGGCACCGCGAGGCACTGATTCGAAAACCACAAGGCTTCGCTCACTTCGTGGGATATCTGCGCCACCGAGTTAAAACAAACCTTCTCGAACCAACACCGACGACAGAAGGCGGAGGACCTGCTCCAGACGCGGACTCGAGCCCCCAACGAAAGCGTGACAAGCCTCGTTAAAGACGTGCTACGACTGCGTACATGCGCCGACCCGCAAGCCACCGAAGAGAACAAGTTGCGCTTCCTAATGAGGGGCGTCAAGAGCGAAATCTTTGGTGGCCTTGTCCGCAGCCCCCCGACGATGATAGACGACTTCATGGCCGAGGCGACCAACATCGAGCGAGCGCTGTCGGCCAGAGCTGTGCGCTTTCAACGACTCGCCGGTGTGTCAATGGTTCCGGCTCTCTCACCACCTCGATCCGACGTCGTTCGGGATAAGCTCAAGAAACTACTGCCGGCTCCCAACCGCCCAGCTTCCCTCTCAATTGCCGAGGTGGTTCGAGAGGAAGTACAGCGAGTTTTCCAGCCGGACACTCCTATCATCGTTCTAGCTCCCGAAGAACCGGCGCTGGCGTGATGACCCGACGACACACGCCCGTTGGGCCGCAACCGCGACGTGAGCCTTCAGCACCGAGGAAACCGCCGTACGTCCACCCAGAGCAACCTGCGCCGAGGAAGACGGACGTCGGGAGGACCGCTGACCGACGCCCGCTGTGTTACCACTGCGGGGAAGCTGACCATGTGTACGACGATGCCCCTACCGGCAGATCGGGCTTCGCGGGTCCGTGTCGGACGCTCCACGCCCGAGGAGCGGAGAACGACCGCGAGACATCGAAGAATATCTGCATCGAGCACCATCTCCAGCGCCCGCTCCCTCCCGAGGATACCGGTCGCCCTCACCACGACGCCCCGCTTCACCGATGCTCAGGCCCCCACGCGAAAGCCTGCTGCCCCTCGCTGGTCGTCGAGGAAACTAAGCGCGGCAACCCCTGGAGGTGGTGTTGCCGAAGATAATCGACGCAAACATCCTCCACGAACGTCGGAGGGCCCCCACTCTAACGACGCCGCACGTAAAAACGACGCTCCTGCGACGGCAAAGAATAATCTAATCGTCGTTATCGACGGCCACGACGAGTCGGTCTTCGTCGACACCGGAGCAGACTACTCCGTCCTGAGTGGGAGGCTCTCCCAACGCCTTCGGAAAGTGACGACGCCATGGGATGGTCCACAGATACGAACTGCCGGAGGGCACCGCATTACACCAGTCGGGATGTGCACCGTTCGCGTCGAGATTCACGGTGAAACATGCCCGGTGAAGTTCGTTGCTCTACGGGATTGTGCAAGAGACGTTATACTCGGCATGAACTTTCCCTGCGAGCACGGCGCCGTCATCGACCTGGAAGCCAACCGGCTGATACTGCGGAAACCTGTTTATGACGACCGGGGATCAGGAAACAACGTCGGCCGGCTCAGCCGCAGTGCTATCCGAGCACGTGAACTTGCCACCGCGCTCGAGTGTGCTGGTGCCCATCGGAACCCAAACAGCTATTCACGGAGACGCCCTGCTGGAAGGTAATGTTCAACTGCTCCTAAGCATAGGGATCGGTGTCGCCAGAGGCGTAACAAAGCTCCAAGATGGACGCACCGCTGTTCTTGTAACGAACTTCCGACAAGAGACTCAGCACCTAACAAAAGGTACCACCGTGGGGCACATCCGGGAGCTCCAGGACACAGCCGCAATCGCCGGAATCTCTGAAGACTATACTCCGCGACTTTTCTTGGCAATGCAGTGGAAGGTACGTCCCGCGTCCCTTCTCCCATTTTGAGTGTACGCAGGCTCTCCTCTTCTCCCCGGAAATGGGGGAGGAGGAGAGCCTGCGTACACTCAAAATAGGAGAGGGGACGCGGGACGTACCTTCCACTGCATTGTAGAGAAAACTTGTCGCGGAGTATACCCTTCGTCGCAACACGAGACAGCGTCATCCTCAGAGCTCGACATCGACCCAATAACCCTCCCCCTTCCCCACCGACGACAGCTGGCTGACCTCCTCGCCCAGTTCAATGAGTTCTTGCCACGTCATCAAAGCTGCGCTAAACGACGGTTGCGAAACATCGAAGTGTTACTGATGACAACGCACTTTATGTACATCGGTCACCGTACGGACTTTCCTTGAAAGAAAGGGAAATCATCCAGAAGCAAGTTCAGGAAATGCTTGATCACGACATCGTCCAGCCCTCAAACAGTCCGTGGGCTTCCCCAGTAGTCTTGGTGAAGAAGAAAGACGGAACCCTGAGGTTCTGCGTGGACTATCGCCGGCTGAACGCAGTAACAAAAAAGGACGTCTCACCGCTGCCCCGCATTGACGACACCCTGGATCGGCTGCGCCACGCCCGTTACTTGTCGTCGATGGACTTGAAAGAGCAGGTACTGGCAGATAGAGGTCGACGAACGAGATCGCGAGAAGATGGCATTCGTCACGCCGGACGGACTGTATGAATTTAAAGTAATGCCGTTCGGACTGTGCACAGCGCCGGCAGCCTTCCAGCGCGTTATGGACACCGTTCTTTCCGGCTTGAAATGGCAGAGCTGTCTTGTGTACTTCGACGACGTTGTGGTGTTCGCAAGCAAATTCGACGAGCACCTGAGACGACTGCGATCCGTGCTACAGGCTATCAAGACCGCTGGGCTGACACTCAAGCCTTCCAAAAGTCGCTTCGCCTATGGTGAGCTGAAATTTTTGGGACACGTTGTGAGCGCTCAGGCTGTAAGCCCTGATCCTGCAAAGACGTCCGCTGTCGCCGAATTCCCGAAACCATCAGACAAGAAGGCCGCCTGAAGGTTCCTTGGGCTGTGCGCCTACTACAGACGTTTCGTTCGTGACTTTGCACAAATTTCTGCACCGCTGACGAATCTTACGAAGGACGACGTGCAGTTCCAGTGGGGCAAGGAGCAAGAACAAGCGTTCGACGAACTCAAGCGAAGGCTCCAGTTGCCCCTATCTTCGGGCATTTTGATCAGTCTGCGGAGCAGAAATCCACACGGACGCCAGCAATACTGGTCTCGGTGCAGTTCTCGTTCAGCGACAAGAAGGAGCAGAGAGAGTAATCGCTTACGCAAGCCGGGCGCTGTCCAAGGCAGAAAAAAATTATTCAACGACCGACAAGGAATGTCTTGCAGTCGTCTGGGCAATAACCAAAATCCGTCCGTACTTGTACGGGCCGGATCCCGTTCCGCGTGGTCACAGACCACCACGCCCTCTGCTGACTCGCCAACCTCAAGGATCCGTCAGGACGCCTCGCCTGCTGGAGCCTTCGACTGCAAGAATTCGACGTAACTATTGTGCATAAATCCGGCCGCAAGCATAATGACGCTGACTGTTTGTCTAGGGCTCCAGTTGAACCTCCAATCTCCGGGGCCGCTGACGACACCCGTTTTCTTGGAGCGGTTAGCGCTACCGACGTGAGGGCACTGCAACGCGACGACGCGGAACTTCGCTCATCGACCACCTCGAAGGTCGAAGAGGCTCTGTCCCATGGGTCTTTTCTCAGGACCTACCGAGCTTTGTCCTGCGGTGAGGCGTGGTTTTCAGAAAGAATGTCGGAACCCGCGAAACTTCCTGGCTAGCGGTTGTCCCTACCAGCCTCCGAGAATAAATTTTTCAAGCGTGCCACGACAACCCAACGGCCGGACATCTCGGCTACAGCAGGACCCTTGCCCAGATTCGTGACAAGTACTACTGGCCAAAACTCCCGAAAACTGTTAATCTGCACACGCGGTCATGTCACAAGTGCCAGCGGCGTAAGAAGCCTCCGACGAGACCTGCGGGATTCCTGCAACCGATATCGGCCCATACTACACTTTTCCAACAAATTGGAATGTATTTGCTTGGGCCCTTCCCGCCATCGACGTCGGGGAACCGATGGATAATCGTTGTCACGGATTACCTTACCCGGTACGCGGAGACGAAAGCCCTTCCGTCGTGAACAGCGGTGGAAGTCGCCAAGTTTTACGTCGAGTGTATTCTCCTTCGACATGGCGCCACCGAAGTCTCGATAACCGACCGAGGGTCATCGTTCTTGGCCCAGCTCACGCAAGAGATCCTTCGGCTCAGCCACACCAGCCATCGTCGGACCACCGCGTACCATCGGCAGACCAACGGGCTAACAGAGCGGCTCAACAAGACGATCGCCGACATGATCTCCATGTACGTCGACGTAGAGCACAAGACGTGGGACGAGGTATTACCATACATCACGTTCGCTACAACGCCGCAGCTCAAGAAACGACCGGGTTTACACCATTCCAGCTGGTGCATGGCAGAAACTTGACAACCATGCTGGATGCGATGGTGCCCCATGAGCGTGTGGACGACGGATGCGACGATGCCCATGCGGTGAGTCAGAGAGCAGAAGAGGCACGCCAACTAGCCCGCCTTCGAATCCACGATCAACAGCGTGTCGACGCTCGCCGGTACAATCTTCGTCGACGCGCCGTCCACATCCAACGCGGAGGCAGAGGGTGGGTGTGGACGCCGATTCGTCGTCGCGGTCTCAGCGAAAAACTGCTGAAGTTCCACTCCACGGCACACTGGAAAAAACACAGGCACTAAAAAATGCGATGATCGCAGTGACGTTGCACTTTCGAAGCTGTTTTACTGGCTCGTTGGCTCGTAGTGTTGGCCGCACTCCGACGTCCGCTATCTTATGGATAGATTCCTTTCGAAATATACTGTCCTCTGTTGGCAGCTGTGAAATCCCTACACAATGCCAGAATAAAACCGCAACGTCATAGTCCGCTTTATACTTTTGGTTGGATTAGAACACACAATATATATATATATATATCAATATATATATTTATATATATATATATTTTTAAATTAAACTTACCGCTTAGAAAAGATGGTAGAATAAGCACCACGGCGAAAACTACGAGCTGCATTTTGCTCAATGACAACGTCCCACTGAAAGAGTAAAGATAATATTAATATAGCCTCTGAAGTGAACACATTTTTCGCAGAGTACTTTGTTGGCAGCTGTGAAATCCCTGCACAATGGCGGATTAAAAGATGGTAGAATAAGCACCAGGGCAAAAACTACGCTCCGACGTCGGCTATCTTATGGAATGACTGCGCGTTCCTCAATGCAGTCGCTCCACCACTGTGCAGTGGTTCCGACCCTCTAATAATCGGCACGTGACTTTTGAAAGGGGTCTTTTAAAACACTTGAAGAGTGCAGGGTAGAGCGAAAGTCACGTGAGACAAACTTTCTGTAGATTCCTTTCGAAATATACTGTCCTCTGTTGGTAGCTGTGGAATCCCTACACAATGGCAGAATAAAACCGCAACGTCATGGCACACTTTATACGTTTGGTTGGATTAGAAGACTCAAACACATCGGCAGAAAAAGGTGATGAGTGCAGTGACATTGCACTTTCGACGCTGTTTGATTGGCTCGTCGGCTCGTAGCGTTGGCCGCCCTCCGACGTTCGCTATCTTACGGAATGACTTGCACGCTTCTCGACGCCAGTTGTTCCGCCATTATGCAGTGCTTCCTACCTTCTAATAATCAACACGTGACTTTCGAACGGGGTCTATGTGACACGGTATTCCCTGGTTAACAGAACAACAAGGCAGAAAAACAAACATGTGTATGTAATTTTTAACGCACAATATTTTCTAGAATCTTATCCGCAACGCGCAATCGAATATTTTTTTTCACGTCAGAAAGAAAATAGGGAAATAATGAGCTGGCCCAGTAAAATAAACACCGAAAGAAATTCCTGCCTTCAACACGGAGTTCCCACGGCTTCTAGATATTACTCTCGAGAGCATTTGTTCTTCCAGCGGTACACTGTAACATATAGATCGCATTTTGTATTTCCTCAAATATTTGAGAGAAAAAACACTAAAGAGATATGGGGTGTTAGTAAGCAAACTTCGGTAATAATCTTAATATAAAATTATTAGAAAATGTTTTTTTTTTTTAGACTGTCTTAGAAAAACGGCGGGAATAACATTGCACCATAGTTTGCCAGAACCACCTACACCGGTCCGTTATTTAACCGAAGGGTATTATGTATACAATTTCACTAACACACATTGTACTATAGGCGCTCCTAAGAGAACGACATGGCAACAAAACTAATTCAAAGGCGTTGCAATTCTATAGAAAACTTACGTACCGCTTTCTTGCTTCGAGAAACTTGAAGTGGCGATTGCTAGTCCGATGTGTGGAGAGGTAGGTGGCTTTTTTATATCCCAGATTGTAGGCGTATTACTCGCATCGCGCGATTGCATCAAACCTTTCCCGCCAATGGCAGCTTTGGAAGCCGGCGGGAGGAGACAAAAACTGCACCTGTACACGTAGCCCTTACATTCGATTCAAAGAGCATTGTGCAGAACTTAAAAGAAAAATACAGCAAAAAATGGGCGTCTGAAATTTCTTTTTTTCTTTTTTTTTATTGCATTTTATATTTTCGTGAAGTTCTTGGACCGTATTTAGTTCTTCGAATATTTTTCGGAATAAGCGTACTGTACACCTCTAAAACATAATATTCTACGCTGTGTGCACCACGTAGAGGCGCCGACTATGCAAGGCTTTGTCTTACAGGACTGTTTCTTATACCCAGAAATGTCCAGGGTAATCTTTAAGATAAAGCTGGACAGTGTAGTCCATTTCACTAAAAGTGCATCGTCACGGCGCTTATCCTTCCTACGGGTTTCTTGTCAGTTATACCCGAGAAAAGCAATCAAGTAAATGCACCGCATTGCTGCGTTTTTTTTTTTTTGTTTTTGTTTTTTTTTCTGCGCGTGATTGATTTAGCCGTTGATAGCAAGCCCACGAAGACAACGAGCTCACGAGGACAGTGATCGTGCACTTTTGTCGTTGGTCGATTGGCTACAATACGGTGGAAGGCAGGACGAGTGCGTGGTACATGTTAACGGTCAAATAAACAGCGCCAGAAAAAACGAAGGACAACTATACTCCGCGACAACTTTTCTTGGCAATGCAGCGGAAGGTACAGGCCCGCGTCCCCTCTCCCATTTTGAGTGTACGCAGGCAACGCAGGCTCTCCTCCTCCCCCGGAAATGGGGGAGGAGGAGAGCCTGCGCACACTCAAAATGGGAGAGGAGACGCGGGCCTGTACCTTCCGCTGCATTGCCAAGAAAAGTTGTCGCGGAGAATAGATGATGCACACGCTCGAAGCGCTGGAACACATACAAGAGCCCAGTGTAAAAGAAAGGAACTGCAATATGGCGGAATCGTAGCATCCTCTGCAGTCGAACTTAGAGTGAAACGAATATAGCGAACCCCACAATGACAAACAGTCTTGTGCTGCTGCCCCAAAGCTCCAAGCGGTGTCCCGAGCATGATCTGGAAGGGAAACAATTTGCGTTTTCGAAGAAGACGATACAAACGACTCCTTGGAGTGGTTACTCCGCCAGCTAAAAATTAACTCTTCACCCACGTAGCTGCGAAGCTGTGCCTAAATGAATGACGTGAACGCTCTTGAAATTTCGATTCAGCTCCGGGAAAAGTGCTTATTTTCATATATATATATAACTGACGAAGGCCGGACTCCGGCCGAAACGTTGAAGTATAAACCGTCCGTTGTTGCTGTTTTCACCAAGGTTTTTTTTTCTTCCCAGTTATATATATATATATATATACGAGATATGCCCGGTCCGTGTAGTTTAGAAGCAATCTGTAAAGGTACTGCCGGTACAAATTTTGTGGAACAAAAATCAAAGATTACTATTGAAAGGTTATGTCTGATGACGTGATGTATCTAGATGTACTAGACCTCTTAAAACCCTTTACGGGTTTGCTGAGTCATTAAACGCGCATAACATCGGATAAAAAACAACAAAAAACTACAGGTTTGATTTTTATCGAAACCGGGTTCTAATATTAATTATTGTTTTGCTTTTTACAATACTTCAATGATGCACTCTTTCAATTTTACACTATAGACTCCTTTTAAAAGACTGGCCTCTGTTGGCACCTGTAAAACCCCTGCACAATGGCGGACTGAAATCGTAGCGCCACGGCACACTTTACGCGTTTAGTTGGAATAGAAAAAAAACACATTAACAAAAAAAAAAAAAAGGCGATGAACGCAGTGACGTTTCACTTTCGACGCTGTTTGATTGGTTCCTCTGCTCCTAGCGTCGGCCGCGCTGCGACGTTCACTATCTTATGAAATGACTTGCAATCTCCACGATGTCAGTTGTTCCGCCACTGGGCAGTGGTTCCGATCTTCTAATAGTCGGCCCGGGAATTTCGAAAGGGGTCTTTTGCGTTTTTAAACACGTTTCTTGGTTTATTCCTGGTCGCTCCCTCAACGACATAACGCCGACGCCTTGAAAGGCGTCAAAGCGGGATGGTCAGAATGCATATCTCTTCCGCTTGTTTTAGGAATAAAAAGCGAGCCAGTAAATTGCCTCGGTGAGAAGCTACTTATTCCCATAAAAATGCCGCACCCCCCCCCCCCCCCCCCACGTCCCCCGCAAAAAAAACAAAAAACAACAACAACAACATAAAACCCTACACGAGATTTGTAATAATTCAATCGTAAGAGTTGAAAAAAAAAACGTTCAAAGTTCAGTCTGTATTTTTTATTTTATTTGGCAGCTATCATATGGTAGAACAATTTCAGATTACTAGAATGCCCAATGATTCAATCGTAACTGAGTTGCAAGAAACAGTTCAAAAGCTATTCTGCTTCTTTTTTTCTTCTTTTTATATCACATTTACGATACAATCATCACAAATTTACTTGATTTTATTATTTGTGTATTTACACGATGATAAGTGCTTTTTCGTACCTGTCCTATATTCACCTGTTTTTATTCGCAAACCAAGCGGAAGATGTCTCCGGATTATCATCCTCTTACGCCAGTCAAACCTCAGGCGTTTCTTTCGGTGGAGAAGCCATGAGTAGTAAACTGAAATCGTGTTTAAAGACCCGGTAGCACCTAAAGTGAAAAGACAAAGTCTCAGTTTCTATGTGAATAGGAATTAGAGCTTTCAGGACCGGAGAAAAACTTTGCGCATCGTACCACACGGCCGGAGGTGGCCAAATTACATTTGCTTTCCAAATAAATAACATTACTAATTAGTAATTACCTTGCCTGACACAACTAAAATGTAATTAAGTTACATTAAAAATTCCCACAACAAACTGTGCTTCATCACAATTACAAATTTTTCCCAAAGTAATTATTTGCTTTCGACTTACTTTTTTTTTAAATTTCTTATACAAGAACTATTATTACTTTCTTGCTACATATACTTTTATTTGTTTCATGAACACTTTATTTGCAAAATCCGCTGTTTTGCAGTCTGCCACACCAGGCTTAAAGCATGGCTAAGCTTGTCGTAATAAATGTAGATATGTAATAAATGTCCTATCACCTTGTCTGACCTAAATTTTTAATCTGTTTGCGGCTCGGCGTGTTTCCAGAAAATATGCAGATAGCTAAGGTCAGCGTTTTGTGCAAAAAGGGTGACAATAGCATGGCAAACTACAAGCCTATTTCTATGTTACCCGTGTTTTATTTCGGCAATTTTGTTTTTGTTGTATGTTGAATTATGCAAAGAGTTCACAACTCCACCCTCGAGGTCACAATAGTCCAACGTATCAGTTATTTTTCTGAGTTATACTGTTGTAAGACTGTTAAGCACCGGGTCTATTTAACGACTCATTCATAAGCTTCTCCTGCAAAACATTGGTTCGAGTTCTGCATCTTTTCCGAGTTAAGGTAGAGACCCTGAAAGAGAAGTGGTCGAATTCGACGTGGAGCTAACTTTTTGCCCTTATATACACGACAACCGACCTTCACGGTACGTGTCAACTAGAGGTTTTGTGATGTACTTTATTAGAGGCGGTTCAACTGGAAGGTTATTATTAGTAAAACTTAAATGTTCACGCTTCCAGCCGAGTAC